ATAACCATAAATGAAGCTAAATGTTATCTTTAAAATTAAACGCAATCAATTCATTTAATTGAACTCTTAAAGTCGATTTGAATGGGTAAATTGAGTTCTAGGGTCTTTAGTTAATTCCTTGGTCAAGCATGGATATTTAATTTGTTAACTTTTTGAGTTTTTAAACTTATATGCAATGCAAATACAGTATGAACTCGATTAATGCAACTTATAGAATTCGAGAGTGCTGCAATAATCGAGGTTGTTGCAATAATCGAGTTTAGTTTATTTAGTGCATCTAAAATTTTGAATTAAATAAAGAGGATGTTAACACAAAATTTATTAGAAAAAAATGATTACTTAGTTTTATTTATAACAACATAATTGCAATCATATTTATGATAATAATTTGTTATTTCAGCTTGGTTTTTATTGCAATTGAGATTCATTGTAACTGCTTTACTTTTTAGATCTTTAAGTATTACAAGTTTTCTAAGAGGTATGGAATTTTTCTCAGTCCATTATATGCATATGTTAAATGCATTTATTGCCATGCGATTTTTGATTTTAAGTACAATTATAAAGCCTCAGTTTTCGAGTCCAAATAGATGTCAAGCTGTTCTGCAAGAGACACATTTTCCATAGAAAATTCGTTGACCCATTCATCCATTTCTTGTTGAGAAAGAACATCTGACATAATTTCATGATTTCATAATATTCTTATGCACCGAGAGAGAGTATAAATACGCATAATTAACAAATAAAATATTAAGAATGCAAAAGAGGAAAATAATTAGCAAAAGTTATATTCTTAGCTGTAGTCAATCTTCAAAGCTGTTATATCAAAGATAATACCGGGAAAATTTAAGAGCTTTCAATAAACGAGGAGTTGCGATATTCGAGGGTTGCATTAATCGAGTTTATACTACACGTTGAATATTTTTTTTTAAAGTGAACTTGTCATTCGCATAAAATAAAAAAGTATGATATAAAAAGCATTATGAAGTTCACCTTAACCCTTATTAAAATCATATCGAATCATTAACAATACAAATGAGTTGTTATTAATTTTTTATGATTTATTTTTTTCAAGCCACATTCATTTGTAATTTAAATTCGTTAATTCATTATATGAAATCTGTCAATTTCAATTTATTTAAAATGCGAAAAATGAATTTTTTCCAGGTTTATTTTTCAATGCAAAAATGGTAATAAGCAAAAAAAAATTTCACAAAAAAAAAAAAAATCGTACTACAACAGATAATATAAAGCGTAAAGTGCTGTAAAACCATTTTTAAATGGAAAAATTAAGTCTGGAATAATTTTGTTTATGCCACACAAGTAAAGTACACGAAACACGCAAATAAGATTCAATCTGTTTTAATTAAGAACGCTCCGGCGCAAGCAGTTAAATATTAAAAAGAAAAAGCAAACTGTCGGAGAACTGGCACTACATAGCGTATGATGAACGCGAATGCGGCAGTAAGTGAATGAATCGAACTGCCGTGAACACTTAAGCTCTGCATAGGCAGCAGCTACGTATGCGGCTTTGTAAGCTTATTTCTAGCGTTAATTTAACATTTTTAGGTTTTCCGAATGACTGCAACGCAAAAAGGCATGCCAAGCCAAAAAAAAAGGCCTTGTTTACTTTATTTCTGGCATTTAATTTCTGTTTTTTTTTGGATATGCTAAACGTTGAGGTTTTTTTCGGAGGATCCTTCTATATTGCGGTTTTGGATTTTGTATAAAAAGTGAAATTAAAAAAAAATAAAAACAAAAACAGCAAACAAAATTGAATTTCGCATTAATTAAGAATATGTGCAAATTGAGTTTAATCTGGTTGAAAGGTGGAATGAAGGTTTACCTAGCAGACTTACTAGTAACACAGAAACCCTTTCACATATTACATATACGTTTCCATCATTAGTATTTATATTTAATATGAAATAGTATAAATTTAAACAGAAACAACATTTTGTGTACTTTAATTTACAATATATTCTGATAATATTTATATAATATACTTGACACATGTATTGAGTAGTGTGTATAGAGATTATAATTATATGATAATATCCAACATGCTTTTATAGGTCTAGAACAAAAACATCAACTTAATAAACATATTTAAATATCAATAAAACAATCAAGTGAGAAGATTAATTAAAAGACTTGAAGGAAGAAGATCCGAAAAAAATATACCTGAAAGAAGAAGATCTGAAGCAAAAAGACCTAAAAAAGAAGACCTGAAAAAAGAAGACTTGAAAAATGAAGACCTGAAGAAAGAAGACTCAAAAGAAGCAAACCTGAAAAAAAAACACCTAAAGAAAAAAGACCTGGAGGAAGAAGAACTTAAGGGAGAAGACCTCTGAAGGAAACAGAGCTGAAGTAAAAAGACCTGTAAAAAGAAAACTTGAAAAAAAAAGACTTGTTAAAAGAACAGCTGCATAAAGAAGAGCTGAAGAAAAAAAATTTAAAGGAAAAAAACTGAAGCAAAAAAAAATAAAGAAAGGAGATCTGTAGGAAGAAGAACTGAAAAGACAAGATCTGAGGGAAGAAGATTTGAAGGAAAAGGAACTGAAAGATCTAAAGCAATAAGATCTGAAAAAAGAAGATCTGAAAAGGAAGACTTGAAAAATGAAGACCTGAAGAAAGAAGACTCAACAGAAGCAAACCTGAAAAAAAAACACCTAAAGAAAAAAGACCTGGAGGAAGAAGAACTTAAGGGTGAAGACCTCTGAAGGAAAAAGAGCTGAAGTAAAAAGACCTGTAAAAAGAAAACCTGCGAATGAACTGAAAAATGAAAACCTGAAAAAAAAACACCTAAAGAAAAAAGACCTGGAGGAAGAAGAACTTAAGGGTGAAGACCTCTGAAGGAAAAAGAGCTGAAGTAAAAAGACCTGTAAAAAGAAAACCTGCGAATGAACTGAAAAATGAAAACCTGACAAAAAAAAAGACTTGGGAAAAGAACAGCTGCATAAAGAAGAGCAGAAGAAAAAAAACTTGAAGGAAAAAAACTGAAGCAAAAAAAAATAAAGAAAGGAGATCTGTAGGAAGAAGAACTGAAAAGACAAAATCTGAGGGAAGAAGATTTGAAGGAAAAGGAACTGAAAGATCTAAAGCAATAAGATCTGAAAAAAGAAGATCTGAAAAAAGAAGACTTGAAAAAAAGAGCTGAAGAAAGAAAAATATTTAAAATATTTCTTATAAATCAAAATGTCACATGAATCAATGAATTTTTCATAAACTTTGAATACGATTGTCTTTATTCGTACAGACATCGCTTATAAAATGTCAGAATAAGGATTTGGTGTTTAAAGCTTGTAATCTTTTAATCCATGATTTATTATTTTCCATTATTTAAAAACCATGTAAATTTTATTTTAAATATATGAAATAAGCAAATCGTAGTAGAAAACAATAATTTATAGAAAAAATAGAATTATTAGAATTTTAACTAAATTAGAATTTTATTTCTTGTTAATAAAGCTTCTAAAATTTTAAGATCATTCAAGTAGCTCACAATTCCTGTAATACAGTCTAGGCTAAATATGTGTGTTATTTATTTAAAAAAAATGGATTAACCTTAAATTAAAGGTTAATCCATTTAAGGTTTAAGTTAACCTTAATACATATTATATTTAAATGAAATATTGATTACAATAGATCACAGTTATTGTAGGCTGAAAGCTTGTAATTCTTGAAATTAAATCAATTATTTTTCTGATAAAAGATCTTATTTTATATAGCTCTAGAAGGACATTTCGTAACATAAATTTCCAATACTATTCCAGGTAGATAATCTTTTTATTAAAATTTTATATTAAATGCCAAATACTTGTATTTGGCATATTTGGCATTCCAATTTAAACGAAATGAGAATTATTATACAAATATTTGGATAAACAACACTATTATGAATTAATATTTTAACTTAATCGTTTTCATAGTGCAGAGTGCACTCTTACGAATTGCATGTTACAGATGTAGCAGATTATCTGATATATACAAATTATTTGTAAAGTAAATATCATAACATTATCCATTTTGTTGTAAAATATCTAACAAAAATTTTAGATTATTATTAGAGATTTCCGAATATGATTGGATTCACTATACAGAGGTAAAATTATTTCCAGGAGGAAGAAGGAAGAAGGAGGAAGAAGGTATGGAGGTAGTTCGTGTCTTCAGTGGAGTGATAAAGGTGACGGAGCATTAACCGCACTACAAGTGCGGGACTGGAGAAGGCGCACTCGCAGCATTAGCACTTGGAAAAGTGTGTTACTTCAAAAAAAGTTCGTTAAAGAGTTATTATAGCCATTAGAAAATGTACATGTACAGGACAGTACTGCCAACCGTAATAATAAAAAAACTAAGCAAAATCTATGGTGCGATGAATGTTATTTAAAAGTTATACGTTATATTTAAACACATGCTATCATTAAGGATTCCACCCCGACCTAAAAGATCGGAGATCTAAAAAATGGATCTAAATCCAACTAATATAGTTCTTTATAAATTTATAATTTAAAATTTATAATATAGACTCTTTATAAATTTCGTAATTGCTGTGGGCTTGATTTTACATATTTGATTTGGGATCAAGATCCCTTCTTGACACCGCTAGGCCGTTGCGTAGAACATGTTCTAATATTTTCTTTTCCTCATGACAAAGTCGACAGATATAACTTTTTATTGCACCCATATTCTTCATGTCGTAATTGAGTCTATAACAACAGTGTCTAACGTAACAGTGTCTATAGTGTCAAGTTCAGTGTAGCATTTAATATCATTTCTGCTAAGCTTAAGTATAGTGTTAATTTCATGTGGATTAAAAGTCACGATTTGTATCTTATATTTGATAGTTCCAATGAAATGAATTGAGAATTTCTATGGAGAAATATGCACATAATAACTGTAG